TGTGTGTGTGTGTGCGCAAATGCGTGCGTGCGTGAATGCGTGCGTATGTGTGTGTGTGTGTGCACGTGCGTGTGCGCGTGCGCTCCAGAATGAGGTCAGGAAGGTATTCCAGTTCCGCTTCAACAATGTTCACGTTTGTCTGTTTGTACTGCTGGGTATGCTGAATTTTTGTTTTGTGCTTGCACGCTGATGGTTGTCAAGGTATTTTGGCGCTCAGCTGCTCCTATATCTGGTTCCTTCCAGGGGAGTGTCACAGGGCCTGTTTGGGGGTTTCAGCATTCCCAAACTTTTAGGGGCCTCCCTGGCTGTACCATCCCCAAAACTTTTTTCGCAGGCATATTCTATGGCTTAAGGCACAACTCTGCCAAAAAAGTTTTGAAAAAATTGGCTTGGTGTATGAGCTAGGGTGCCCCAAAAGGGGAAAAAGGGGCAATATGGTGAAAAATGGGGATTTCCCAACCTACCCCATCTGGTCCAATTCAACCTTGGATGTGTAGCAGTGATTTAGCAGACACCATTGTAAAAGAAATGGGGTCAATAGGTAGTCTGGCTGGGTCAGGGTGGGCAAGAACGTCTGGGTGTTCAGGTGGACCTCTAAGCACCATGACCTGTTTTCACTCCTAGAGCACTTCCCATGTTTTCACTCATAGAGCACTTCCCATGTTTTTTCCGACAGATTTTTTATTGAAACATTTTTTTATCATAATTACGCTTAAAAATAAATTTTGGGGCCGAAATTCCGAGATTTTCTCAAATCTCCTGCCAAACATTGATTTGGCATAGATCACCCTTGCCCATTGAGTTATGGGATAAAAAATAGTACGATTTAAACGAATCCGGTGATATGTTCTTTATTCCATAACTTGATGTGCAAGATGGTCTATTTGAGGTAACAAGGTCTACACGCCCGTGACACTCCCATGGGTTCCTTCAAAGTAGAAGGAACATACAGGTGGAGACAAAAACAAAAAGCAATGTTAGTGCTTTTGAGGATGCACTTAGGTTCTAGGATGGAGAACTTTGGTTTCAGTGATAACGCTTCAAAATTGTGTACAGACTGCATGTTTCCTTTTTACTGTTGCCTTGTGCCGATCAAGGAAGGAGGGTAGATAAGGCCAGAGGACGTGTGGCAATAGGAAAGGTTCCGTGTGTAGCAAGCTAGCATGGCATTTGTCGAGGCGCAAGTAAACAGGGAACATGTTGTAAGGTTCCATACCTAGAAAGCTGGCAGGACACCAATCAAGGCACAAAGCTGTGCAAGTGGAAAGAGAGTGCAGTATAGCAGTGAGGAAAGAGAGGCATGCGACAAGCTAACGGCCAGAAGCCTTCAGTAAGGAAAGGGCAGCATTCCCCACCCGGATCCCATGGTCCAACCCAAGAGGATCCAGGACCTCACGCTCAATGAGCCAGGGTTCACCCTTCTCAGCCTTGTCTGCCAGAGCTCCCCAGGGCCTTTATCAGATAAAGCTGGCAGCTGGCATACCGTAAAGCATGTTGACCATTACACAGTATTAAAAGTTTGGAGCAGTGCGTAATGCTTTAATAATTATTCTGGAGGGGTGCGTAGTGGCAATGGCAAAAATAAATGGCCGAGATGGGGTGCGTAGTGGGTGCGTAATGGTGTAAATAATTCGGAATTATCATGGAGAGGTTCTTTAAGAGGGTAGGTGCATCGGAGAGGGCTAAAGACCAGGCAAAGGAGGAGCAAAGGGGAAAGGCAAGCATTGCAAAGGAGGCAGAGCATGTGCGAGAATTCAAGCGGAAACAGGAAGAGCAGCGTGAGGAACAGAAGAAGGAGCGGAAAGCTGTCGGGCCCATGGACCTGCAGCGACGATGGGCGGGGCGAGTGCAGCCGGAGCCACCAAGCAGCAGCAGAACAGCAGAGTGGCAGCGTAGTAGCAGGCAGAAGCAGAAGGCAGAAGGTCATTTGAACGCTTTGAGGATGGGCAGTTGGAGGTGAAATGACCAACACCTCTTAGCATCATCATCATCTTCACAGCAGCAGCAGCACCAACAGCAGCGCATGCAGCATGCCAGGCAGAAGTGGTACTTGATGAATGCAGAGCAAGGGTCTCAAGCGAATGAGTGTGAAGGCATTGAGGCAATAACAGCCGCTTTTGTCTCCATCAAAGCTTGAATTTCTCCAGAGCTGGAATGAGATGAGCAGCAGGATTCCTTTTATTGGTATTTTGTGTTGCTTGATTGGACGTCCTACTTGGAAGATGGCAGACCTCCTTCCTTGATGCTGCCTACACGAGCATTGGGTTGTGGGCGACCACAAGTTCCAAACAGCAGACAAAAGTTTGCTTGTGCATGGCATTGCACCGAGGAAATTGGTGAGGAGTGCATCATCAATTTGTTTCTCAGATGTCATGGAGAATGCCAAAAAAGGTTGCGCAATGAGGGGTGCGCAGCGCAAGAATTGTTTCTCTGCTGTCGAGCAGAGTGCGCAATGAGGTGTGCGCAAAAGGAAATTAAAGGCGTGGATTGGAAAGAAGGTTTCGCAATAGGGATGCGCAAAGAGAAAATGAAATCCTTCTGGCTGCCAAAAAGGGTGCGCAATGGCTACGCAATGGGAAAACTGTATTCAAGAAAATTAGGGGTGCATACTGGTCAGGATTCTCTACGGTACACATTCCGAGAAGATTTGAAGTTTTTCCTTCTTGTGGCTTTTTTTATCCTCAAGATGTGGCATGCAGGAAACCTTTCAAGTAGAGAGCCAGAGAAAGGAATGCTGCTCGATTGCCAGGCCTCTATATGCGCGCTTCATTTGTCACAATGCTTCGCAGGCATGAGTTGAGCTCATTTTCGCTTTTCTCCAAGATGCAGCTTCCCTGACTGAGGACGGCTGCACCATGTAGAAGGATCACAGCAGCGGACTCCTCAGCACTCCCACTGAAGGCAATTCCATCATAAGTGCGTCCATCTTTACTAGCAGCTAGCCCAATGCAGCACTGGGTGTAAGGTATTTTCTTGGAGAAAACTAGCATGCTGCCACACGTGAAGCACTTGCGTCTGCTTGTGAAAGTGATTTTGGGGGAGGGGGTGATCAATATCCAAGAAGATTAGCATCAGCATGTGCCTACGGACGAAGTACAAATGATGCAAATGAAGGTTTCAACTGAAAGAAGCATCCAGTCTGTCAATTGATATTGCTCAATTGATTTCAGCGTGTGCTACCTTGATGGTGTCGTTTGAACACATTTCTTGCCAATAATAAAGGTATGTTTCAGCGCCTATGCATGAAGTGGAGACAAGTCGATGCATGTCGCTTGATCCATACATGAGGTCGCCATAGTTTAGTGGTCAGAATTCCTGCCTGTCATTAGGATCGTGGAACGCAGGGGGCCGGGGTTCGATTCCCCGTGGTGGCGTTTTGTGTCGCCTTTGGAAAATTGTAACCTTAATACAAGGGTGGAACGACATGCGGCCACGGGCCAACCGACCCTTTTCGACTTTGGTTGCATCCAAGCACAAAGGGGTTGGTGAGGGAAGCCTGACCCCCGCCCAACGAAGCTTCCCATGAGGAGAACCCTCCTTCAGCCCACATGCAGCAGCAGCAACAGCATGCAGCAACCACAGTAAGCCTCCTCCTCCATCCCCCACATGCACGGTCCCAGGCTGCATGCAAGATCATCATCATCATCATCATTATCATCATCATCATCATCATCATCATCATCATCATCATCAGCCTGATAACCAATTGGCACAAGCATGCGCATGCCAATACCTGGCCAGGCACTGCATGGAGCAAGGGCAAGGGTGTTAGCACGCACAGCTGCTGGATGGGGTGCATGCAGCTGTGAACCAGATGCCTAAACATAGTTTGTTGCAGAACGTTTTTTTCGTGTTCACAAATTCTGCTAATTACTGGACCCCCCTCACAAGTTAGTGGCGTCGCAAGATGGTAGCGTCAATACGGTATTTTACATTTATCCCGAAGGACACCGCTGATCCACACAGAGCAATGGTGCTCGTATTGGTCCATCATCCTTGGCCTGTCGCCACAGGATGTCAGTGCCACACTGCAAGATAGTAAGGGCTCGTCTGGCAAGTTGGGAACACCTCGGTGTGGTTTTCCAGCCCTGTGCATCGGAAACTGGCATCTGTTTAATTTGAGCAAGCCGGCATTTTTTCGTGCTTCAAGTAGGTGTATCTTCAATAATATTTTTGTAATTTTGGAGCTCCGCACCTGGACAAGGGTTGCATCTCTCGGTCATACCTGGAAAATGCCACTCTCCAGAAGGACCCTGTACAGACTGCAGCAGTGCATGTTTAAAATGCCTGCTGGTAATTTGGCAAGTGGTTTTAGGTTGTCGTGAGGGCCCCTGGCACTCGTCGGATTCGGCCTCCCCGACAATTGCGCAATTGCAGGGAGGACCGGCCAGGCCCCGATAAGCCACACCCGCACCTGGACGATACCTGGGGTTTTCAGCATTTATCTTGACGACGCGGGCTGCCTTGCTTGGATCCGCAAAGTCGTGGGAATCCGCAAGGCGCTTATTCCCCCAGAGTCTTTTCTTGTAAACAAAGTCCTGTGATCCTAAGAAATAAAATTTTTACTACATTGAACGCAGAGCTATTCACCCAAATGCTCAATTTTGGCACGGATTTTCAATACTTGGCAATGCCTTGTGCATATGTTTCACTTTCTTGGAGCAAAGCCAATTCTTCAATTTGTTTTCTTCACGCTTGCATCTGCAGAAATGTGAACTAGAAGAATTTGAAATCCGGACCCCGTCCCAGCCATTCCGATGCGCTTCGGTTTCATAAAATGTTTATAGAAAGCCGTTTTTTTGTCGTCAGCACCTCTCGCGGTTGAATTAGGAGCAAGCACCGTAACTGCCCTCCGCCAGCTCGCCAGAGGTGGCCACCTACGCACTAAGAGCACATTCTGGGGTCTAACTGTAAGGAAGCAGCTGGAGGCAAGGGCACATAGCGGGTGAGTTTCGCTGGCCGAGCACGCAAAGGCAGGCCTAGCGCAGCAAAATTTGCCAAATGGGACCAGCTAAGCACAGGAAAGTTTTTTTTTTTCAACTAGCCTCCAGGTAGTCTGCTCAGGATTGGCAGAGGTGGCCTGGGTGGCTACAGGCAGGATGTCACGTAGGGGTGTGGCACCTAACTGGAAGCTATCAATTGGTTTGTACGTGTCCAGTCGGGCAAGGCAGGGGGTGGTGGGTGAGTTTGGGGGGATTTGGCTTTATAGGAAACCCCCTCCAGACTTTTCCCCAGCAATTTGCCTGGGCCTAGTAGTGATAGTAGTCCAGTACAAATTTTCTACTGGATCCTTAACATACAAGGAGGGCGTGCAAGACCACAAAATTTGCTGCTATGCAAGCTTTAATTGTGCTCTGTGCATACTCTAAGGTATGCAGATGGATGCAGAATGGACACAGAAAAGGAGCAGATTGGTACCCTAATTGTCCCAAAAGGCAATGGAAGGAGGTCAAATCCAAGAATGTGGCATAATGCCCATTACTTTCCCCCTTGCTCTAGTATTTGTAAAAATGCGGGAAAAAGCAAATCCATGCAAGCCAAAAGAAAGCACACACTAAACAAAGGTTATTCCCTAAACTGGAGGCCAGGGGCTTGTCATGTGAGACCAACATCATGCGCACATCACCAACCTGGGGTGCATACAGCTGAGTTGTTGAGAAAAATGGATTTTTAACGTCCAAGGTTGCCAATATCCTTCAAGGCAAGTTGCAACAAATGACAAGGGTTGCTTGGATGCTGGGTTTGCTGTCCACTGCTGCAATTTCCCACAATGCAGCGCAGCACGTACTCCTCGCACAAAAGTAATGTCACACTGAATCATGGTTATTGCTGTATCCTGGTTATGCAATAATTAGTTAGTTTGTAACCTTTGTTCTTAGACTGGCTCAACAACTGACCAACCAGTTGTTGAGAACTGTTGTGCACATTGGATTAGACTTTGTGAGAGTCATTTCCTGGTCTGGATTTGACATCACCTATTCTCAGCATTGTAAACCAAGCAGATGATGGAGTAGTCTATCATTGCCCTGGGAGAGGCATAGTGGAGCAGGCCTGGCAACCATGTACCAAAGCTGAACATGTCTTGTGTGTGAAAAATAAGTGCTGTGCTGCATCATGCGGGAGTGCAGCAAGGAACAGCAAACCCAGAATCCCAGCAACCTGTCTCACTCGCATCTCTCACCAGCAGCTCGAGTGCACTTGTCCTTTGTTCGGATGGCTTTAGTCAACCCTTGACGTTGAACATCCAACAACTGGTGATGCACTCACGTTGCAGCTCGTTTATCACGACAAGGCGGCTCGAAGTGGTGTGTGTCTGTCGAGTCAGTGATCTGTGCTCCCAGGTTGGTGATGTGTGTGTGACACTGATCTTGCACGACAGCAAAAGTAAAAGTCTGAGCTGGACACAACCATCGTGCATTAAGGAAAGACCCAACAGTTAGCACTGGCACTAACAGTGAACCCCACCAAAGAAGGCTAGCTATGAGCAGCCCAGCTAATGAGGGTCCGGCGGGTCGTCGGCCATCCGTCCGGCTGCACGCCTTGGTGTCCTGTGCGCAGCCCTCCCTGTAGCCCCCTCCCCCAAACCCCCATTGCTTATATTGCTGAATTGGATGGCATTTTTGTACTGAAATTTTTTTTTAGGGACTTTACAGCGTGATAGTGGAGTTCTTTGGCGGTTTTGTGAGCTATGTCTTTTGTTAGGCCAAGTTTGCTGAAGGGATCAATAGTGTAGGGATTGAAGACAATTCCAGCAACTCCAATGCGTATGGGTTGCAATGTGACTCTGTTATTGTGGTGTGTGCCCCAAAGAGGTCTTTTGCGTAGGCTGTCAATGGTATGTTTGTGCTGATTTTGTGCTGTGTGGAGTGTTTGTCCAGGTTTGTTATCAGAGCAAAATTTGAGCTTCATGACAGGAGGGCAAAATGAAAAAGAAATAGAACGTCATGCCCATTTTTGGGGCAGGACCCCCCTGACCCACCCACCACCCCCGAAACCCACCTTTCAGTGCCACGATTCAGACAATAAGGGTATCAACCTGCTCCTTTTCAAATTCCTTGTCCATCTGCATACTCATTGCAATCATACATTGAGTTGGAGCAGAGTTATAAGGCAAAAATTGAGGAGCGTACCTCCATGCAAACCTTCCATTCCAGGCACCCACAACTGGCTTGCAAGTCCACAAACTGCCCTTCTGACTTCACCATGCAACAACATATACACATACACATTGTCACTATCATGGAAGTTTGGATTTGTTTGCTGCATGTTTGCCTTCACACCCCCAGGAACCTACACCCATGCGCATGTGGCACTGACACTGATTCATGCACAGAGGCCCCCCTTCCAATTTGCTCAAAAAGGGTGCCAACCGACAGGTCTTGAGCTCAGGAATCCGATAATATGTTTGGAATTCTGTAGAACGGGCCAGGAGGGTGCCAAGAGCAAAAGTTAAAACTTTTTGCCGGCACGTGTCAATCTGCTTAAGAACTATATATTCAGAATCCTGAGATCGAGAGCTATCGATTTGTACATATGGGTCCAATCGGAGAAGGTCGGTGGAGGTGGGTGGCCGAGGGACGTCTAGACTTTTAGGGACCCCCCCTCCAGAATTTTCCTGGGACAGTTTCACGAAATTTTGAACATATCATCGAATTCCCTGAGCTCGAGGACTGTCGATTGGCACCCTCTTTGTGGGCAGCAAGGGTTGCGGAGGCAAACGTGCAGCAAACCAATCCAAACTTCCAGGACAGTGACAAGGTATATCTGTTATTGCATGGTGAAGTCAGGAGAGCCTTTTGTTGACTTGTAAGCCAGTTGTGCGTGCCTGGAGGGCCATGTATGCATGGGCGTCCACTGCTCAGTTTTCGCCCCAAACTCTGCTGCAGCTCACATTTTTATGCATTGAGCATGCAGATAGATAAGGATTTTGAAAAGTAGCAGATTGGTACCCTTCTCTGGATTGTCCAATCCAGCCCCATGGGGCACTGGAAGGGGGGTTCTGGGGTGGGTGGGTCGACGCCCCTCAGGGGGATCCAACCCAAAATTTACACATGCTGGCAGTCAGAATTTTTTGGCACCCTCCTGAGGTGGCTCAGAAAGATTCTGGAGAGGGGGTCACCAAAAGATAAGCTTTCTGACGCCTCCCGTCAATGAGTTGGATATCTCTGTCACAGAGACAGTCCAGAGGGCCCTAACTTGGCCATTTTGTGGCTTTTATCACAGAAAACTTTTATGAGGCTCTTTGGCCTCACCTTCCCCAAAATGTATCAGGTTGTTATGTTCTATGGTTATAAAGACATAACCCAGCAAACAAGAGTTGTAGGAATTTCGGCACTGTGTGTGAGGTAGGGTGCCCCAAAAGGGGAAAAAGGGT